AATTAGCGGACGGTTATGGGTAGGAATTCCCTACTTGCAGAATTGTTTTGTGAACAGTACCTATAACTTGGTCCTTTTCAAGGCGAGAGTGAATAGGCATTCCTTAGGTATGCATGCTCCATCGTCGACCTCATCGTCACTTTGTATCCGGTGAGATGGGCTTCAAATGCACACTTTAAAAATAATAATAATCATCGCTGTTACAGAATTAAATAAAAATCAATTAAAATTTCACGTTGGTATAGTTTTTTTAACTGTTTATTTATTTAGGGGTTATGATCATTATTGAACATGTTTTGTGTTGGCTTACTAGACAAGCTTCAAAGGTCCGACTTGATCTGTGCGTAGTCAACGATTATTTAACCCCTTACAAAAAATAATGTATCCCAAAATAATTCTTTGTATAGGATGTATGGGTATTACAACGAAATATTACTAATTGTGATATCTTTCACTGCGGTACCCCTGATTTTAAAAGGTCACTTCTTGCATTGTTATAAGGTGAATAATGTGTCTCTTTGCTTTGTTTCTTTTTGTTCTGACAACAAGTATATAGTTAATTTAGCGTCCGTTTAAAAGTTGGGTTCAGATATGCCTACGTTTTTTTTTTCTACATTGTTCGTGTCTGATGTCTGTTATTGTGCCACAATTAAAAAAAAAACAGCCCCATTTTAATTTTCATATTCAAAATGGTTTTACAACTCGTTATAATCACAAAAATATTCCTGATCACCAGTTGTTTATTTTCGTTATGAAAACATTTGTTAGTCATTGTGATAACACTGTATTGTAAACTTCGTTTCGTTTTAAGATTAGATAGCAATTATCAAGTTAAGTTTATCGCGTGAGATACAAACAACGTGTAATTCATATATATTCGATTTAAATATCAACATAATGACAAATTTGTACTGGATGGACAAAATTGAAAAATGAAAATTTTGTGTTGCAATAGAACGAAACGCATTGTTCCAAATCTAAAATTCTACCTGGTTCAATACCAAAGTATGCATGGGCGAGCAATATAACGAGCATTGCCTACACTTAGATCTAAACTAAATTTAAAATTTTAAAGCTAAAACTAGGTTTCAGCGTCGCCTGACAAGAGTCAACAAGTAATGAAACAATGCTTTTATAACGGTAACGGAGCCGACAGTTTCTAAGAAAATTGTAACTATTTTTTTTTAAATAACTGCGCATTTGACCTCCATCTCATCTGACCTGATGGAAAGCGACGATGAGGTCGACGATATTTGGTCTGTGATGTAGCATGCACACCTAAATAATGCCTATTCACTCTCGCCTTGAAAAGGTCCAAGTTATAGCGTTCGGGGAACATGTACGCAGGCAGGGAATTCCACTCCCTAGCCACTCGCCATATAAATGTGGAAGCGAAACGCTTCGGGCGTATCCTGGGAATATCCACAACATTCCAGCCCACGTCTAGTCCCCCCATGATGGAAAGTGGAAGGCGGAATCAAATTATGCAATTCTATCGCACACTGTCCGTGATATATTCTGTAGAATACCGATACAACTCTACGGCGGTGTTCAAGGTTCTGCAGCTTGGCCTCTACTAATTCCGAGTCACCTATAAGCCTCCATCCATCAAACCAGGTGGCAGGTCTTTACGCCTGTGACGATGTTGACCTCCTCATCGTCATCCCACCTTTTTATCATCGTGATTTCTGGTTCCTGGCAACTTATTTTTAAAATTTTGAATCTTTCTCGAATGCCCTTTTCCTTCACTACTCTTACGTTTGTTCCATCCGTTATCAATCTCATCCATTTAGAGGCACAGCTCCTTGTGAAAGAATTCATCCAGGGAAGTGCTGCCTACTTCTGCCGCCAAGCAGTGATGTGAGCGTTACTGCGTTCGGTTTTGAAGGATGTTGTAAGGATGCTGGTGAAATTACAGGCTTTTGGCTCAGAGTGACGGGCGTAGTGTTGTGCCCCTCAGATTTTTTCCTATGTAAAGCTCTGAGCGGCACTGCAACTGTTATGGACAGGAGTGTCTTTTACCACCAGTCACACGACTTCTTCGTCCTGCCACTTAATGCCATAAAAAAAATTAAATCAAATGCCCATAACTCACACTTACTTATTGTAAAACTTCACATTGACTACCATCAATATTATACAATTATATAAGGCCTTTTTGGGTTTGCTCTTTTCCTCTTTTAACATTTCTTACGATAAATCTTGTGGATCGAGCCTTCTGGATTCTCATTTCGCTAAGACTAGGATAAGAAGACCTTTCTAACTAATTAAATACTGGGAACTGTTGCAGCGAAACATCTTCCAACAAAACATAGCATAGCATGTGTGGAATGTAAGTTCGTTATAGCTAGCCCGGTTATTTTAACCGGTTATGTTTTATATAGTGGGTAGTATAAAAAGTAAAATGAAGCCATTTACTAGCAAACCCAAGAATACTGCATCCGGCTAAGATCTGTGCAATTATATACTGTTTCTAAAAATGTCCATGTAGATACATAATTATGAAGAGTACTTATGTGGAAGTCCTCATCTTTTAGCTGATTGAAAGTAAAATCATTCCTATTTGACAAAAAGAAACCTGTTTGTTATTTACAGATATGAATAACTATGAGTCTGAATGAATTATTTACCTAATTGAAAGTTATAATAAATAAAAATGAAACCAATTTCGAATTCGCAAAAGACGACCACTCAAACCGCGCCGCGACGCATTTGCATTGCGTGTACAATAATTTTAGAAGATTTTGTAAGAATTATGAAAAGGATAAGATTTCTAGGAATCGCCTGCTTCTTGCAAAAATAAAATAAAATCTTACAACTACCACTGTAACGGGCCTAATCTACTATTATGTAGACTAATTTTAATTTTAAATAGATTATAAGATTTTGATAATGATAATTTATTACTTTCCTATTTTATTATTTAAGCTTGTGGGAATTCGTATAAGTAATGTGTCATATTTAAAATTTATTTGATGTTTTATTTAGATTAATAGTGTGTTTCAAGAATTACGTCTACATTTACTTCGTGCTTTTTAGCGTCTTTGAAAAAATAACAAACAGTGTTTTTGATTAATTACCAAATTGTATTATTTACTCTTTCCGTAGATATACGTAAATACACACATATACTGCAAATTTATACATTTCATAGTTCCTTAACAGATTATCGTCTCGATTTAATTTGAATTCACTTGGTTTCACAATCTTCTAATAAAATTCAACCGTCTGGGGCTTTTAACTCGCTCACAGACAGCACTTGAACAGTATCGCACACAAAAATGTTGCCATAGTATTTATTATATTGATTCAATTAATAAATTAGGGACGGCTCATTTCGTCAACATTCTTGTGTAAAGAAAGTGCGGCTAGGACAGTAGTACAATGATTGTCATTGGTCATATTGAATTGGTAATAATTTTTTTTGCGTTTTAGATATAAAATTTCGTTAACTTACTTTTCACCCACTCGGAAAGGCTTTCTTTCCCATTAGAAATCAAAAAAAGGAAAGCATTTTTTCCTCGCAAGCGTGGAAAAGGTTTTTGAAATTTGAACTTGATCATGGACTGTGGTGCACCTAACTTTTTCTTTCGATGAAAAAAAAACATAATGTCACGTTCAACTACACGATTTATCTGACATTATTTATGTTAAATCCGCTGGTATAGCGCTGGCATGGTATGCGAGAAGACGTCGGTTCGAATCCGGCCGGGTCGAAGGATTTTTTGTGAGTGTTCGAACTTTGTATTAATCATTATAATTGAACAAGTTCACTACTTGAATTTAATTATTATTTGCCAGGAGAATATTATTTTTGAAGTTTTAATTCGCAACATAACACGGGAAGTGTGTTAATCAGATTTGAATAGTTTTATAAGTATTCAATTAACTAAGTATGCAATATAACTATATTGCAGAGCAATTATTGCATTCACAGTGAACGTTTCAAGGTAATGTACGAAAATAAGGTTTACTGCTAGTAATTGTGAAAACAACAATACATTTTAATAACAATACAATTGTAAAAATATAGTTTGCTCGAAACTTTAACAAGACCATTCTATTTTGCTACCACTATAAGCGTATTTTAGCTTTCTCGTACGAAAATTGACATTGCTAAATTTTTATCCAGATATATTTTCTTATGTTTAAATCACTCATATTATTAAAAAACGTTCTTTTAATTACATTTTGTGATTGTACACGTACTTGTGTATCGAGTTACTTGATAATATGACAATGTAGTACTCGGCTTGTTTCATTATGTTACACATGATCAGCTCACAAATACTCAATTAGCGCTTAGTCTACTTATTGGACATGTTTAATGAAAAAGAAAATAAATTGGACAACACGCTACATCGCTTTGTACGCCTTTACTTACCTGCTAAACGTGTTTCATCGTTATTAGAGTATGTCCCAGTAATTATAAATGACGATACAAAAAGTGCTTCTAGCCCACTTCCATCCGCATACATAGTTTCTATTACTTTAACCAATATCGTGATATTTTGTCGGCTAAAAACCTTACCAACTTAATTTGCTGGACAATATGTATGAACACCAATAAGCACATCGTAGCAAGTAATACTTCAGATTCTTTCAACATCTCTCTCGATTGAACAGAACAGCTGACTTGATCAGTATTAACAAAACATAAATTATAGTCAAATTATTAGTACTAGTTATGCAATGTAAAACTTACATTACTATCAAGTCTTGAAATTATCGTACCCGGGCACCAGATGGCGCAGTTAAACGTATGTAGGTACTTAGAACCTCCTATCCGTTCAGTCGCAGTATCTGCAATGCAGCATAATAGACTCTATTATTTATAATGCTAACTGTTGTAGGGTTATATAAAGGTTAAATTGTAAGGCATTAAGTTTTGACAATGAGGCTTTTCCGGTGTTTACACCCGTCAACCGTAGGGGGGCGCTGTGGGCGGCGCAGCAACCCGTGAACGAGCATTACCAAGCACGCACCGCGCTCGATGACTTGCCGCAACATTCTTAGCGTAAAAGTTACCGTGGATGGTTTACTCTATGTAATTTGCGATGTTAAGTTGATACCCTTTTAGTTTACCCTTCGAAAAGTGCGCGAACGAATTATTTTTCGAACTACGACTGTACAATAATGATTGTTTTTCTTGTGTCGACGGTGACACAACCAAGCATTATGGACTGGGAATTTTGTGCAATGTGCAATTAGTGAGTATGCAGTTTTCTTACACTATTTACAATGTATGTTTTCATATATACTAAAACAAAATAAACCTCTAGTTCCATTTGAAATAATTCTGTCGTAGTACACGTTTATAGCCTTGTATTATAACGATATTGTTTACGTTTATGTTTGTTTACGCAGTCTTCATTACAAAAGACACGTGTGGTGACTGATATTCTATTTTCAAAAATAAACAAACAACTTCCATTTCAAATACAAAATATATATATATAAATACAGTATAATATTACAAATAATAATTGAGTTCCGTGTCGAAGTGAATAATGAAAGATTTCAACTTGTCCTTGAATACGTTTCGGATTTGAACCTAAACGAACAGTCACTACGTTTCATCATAAGCAGTTTGTATGTTCGTAATATTATTACAATTATAGGTAATTAAATTATCGCTGGACCTTGTATCCATTTAGTCTTATGTTACCTACATATATTGTACGATATGTTCTTACACGTTTTTCCAAAAAAAAAAAAACATTTCATTGAAACAAAATGGTAGAGTTTTTCAAACTAACTCGCGATTCTCCGGTCCGTAGCACCTCGCGCGGTGGAAGGTGTTTTTCTGAATCTATTGTCATGTAACGTACAAACCATGTTTGCCTATCATTTACTTAATTAAAAATTAGTTTCGCGGTTGCGTGTTTAGGATTTAAAACAGCGAAAAAGTATTTTATGTTGGAGTAGGTATAGCTATTACCTAAATCTTGCGTAAAATTATATACTGTCTTAACACGAACCTCTAGAGATTATATTATATAGAAACAATAACATGTCATCATTAAAATACCGATACACGACGACAAATCGTCACGTATATAGGTAATAATTGAGCTAAATAAATAGGCTAAGCGAAATTGCCAACCTATGCATTGTTTTTCGTTGAAAACAGTTATTATTTTATTATAACAAGTAGGTAGTAAATTTCTACAAACAGTGGATACACATAAAGTAAAATTAGGCTTTTTTTTGCTCTGTATTTACAACAAAACTTGATGTATCCCACATGTATCGCACATGATAAAGTTTTCGATGTACTTAAATGTGTACAATCAGTATTACAATACTCTGTGCAATTAGGTGTCCAAAAATGTCTTAAAATACAAAAACTTATCTCAGAAAATGCGTTGACAACTTTTCAATGAATCCGAAATTCGAAAGAAAAGAATTTGACTTTTATTTTCATTGAAAGCAACTTGATTTTATTCAATATTCAGATTTTCTTTTATCATTTTGAATACTCACAAAATATTGACGCTCACTGTATGATTTCCATAATTATTAACAATAATTAGACGTTTGGAATTAAGAACGATCCACGGTATTATAATTAAGGCAGCGTCATAACGCCTCCTAAAGTACTTGTTACATAATAGGTAGCCATTTATACTTACATAATTAACCAGAATGAGAGCAAATAAGATTTCATTTTGCGAAAATACGACCTTGTTACGATGATACCGCAGACGATTCTCGCGGTAACTTTTTGTTCAGAATATAAATCTTACAATAAATTTCTAGCTGGTCTCACTCAACTCGATATCTAGAGTATCTCTGTGGGGCATAAGCCCTACATTGAATTAACTATCCTCGCGTGTTTAGATCTTTATGTACCTATATGCATCTAGTGACCCGATTGTATTTTCTCCACACTACCTAAACAGAGTTCCACTAGCCAAAATATAGGGACGGCGGCGGCGCTTCTGTGGGTTGGACAAATGCTCATAGACTCATTTTATTTTTTTTATTTATTTATTCATTTGCATTGGTAGACACGTTACATTTAATATGTTACATGCACCCAGTAAGGGTATAACAAATGATAAGTCTTATAAATTACTCTATCCACATCCACAAATTACGCTATACGATACACCTTCACACTTTTTTATATTCTTAATTTAAGAGCTATGTACCTAAATGATAGAAGGTGTAATTTTCACCAACAATTTTGACGGATTGTACTTTTATCGTTAAGGTGTAGATATCCCACGTATTACCCAGCATTTATTAGCTCGACTAGACTTTAAACAAATCAGCATGATTTTTGCATTCAATGATATTTAGAGTACTATTAACGTTAGTTTCTTTATGTAATTTTCAAACGTTATAATCATATTTTCTTTTCTTGTCCTTTAGTACCGCACTGTTTCGTAAGTGACTTGCTGCAGAATTAGACGCCAAGAAAATAAATTTATTGTTTCACCAAATACTTCATATAAAAATTCAATACAAAATTGCCTATTGTTGAGACACCCGATTAGCGGTTTCGACAAGTATCATTCAGACAATCGACTATAGGAACGACTCTGTCGAAATAATTTCCCACGAAAACAGTCAAGCATTGCGTCAACGAGTTTTCTCAGACTTTGTCAACTGCATTCAACTGTTAAGAGCATAAAACAGTAGTTTATTGCAATATTATGTACAACATTGAAATCACAATCGAAGTTAAGTAGACTTTGAGACTCGATAGTATATATATCGTATACATAATTTTTTATAATTAATAGCGTAATGTTACAAATAGGGTATTTGCATGCTGAAACCGAATCTATGATGCGATGTTCAATATCTCAATTAACATCAGATATATTATAGGCTCATGGTATATGTTGTCCCATTTTAGCAAAAATTATCATTAACATGAAATTTATATGACGTGATTATGGATGTAACGTTACATATCATTTTAATCCCTGTTCATGGACGGCTCTACATTTGGACATCAATTTATGTTTATTTGTGCACTTCTAGTTGATACCCTGCCATGGAGATGATTAAATTAAAACGCGATAGCTTAGAAAGTGAAAAATAGTAAATTATTGGCTTTTATAGCTTCACTATATTACATACCTTTGTAAGTACTACAAAATTTCAACATAAGTATGTTGAAATTAGATCTATAGATCTGACACATGGTTAGAGAATACATAAAAAAAGATAGGTAATAGATACGTTACCATCTTTAATTTGATCTGCAAAATAGACTGGCATTATCATAGCTAGGTGCCCTAAGCCGTAGATTTAGCCTAAGATGTAGATTTACGTCAGTTCACGTAACAACAACCTTATTACCTGAACCGAGTGTAACCACTTGCACACATGCAAACATTTCCTTTCACAAAATGCCTTTCCGTCTATTCTTTAACCCCCATATTATAAAGAAAACCTTAATCATAAAATAACATAGAAGTTCCTAGAACGCACACAGTTCCGTAACAATCAAAAGTAATAAAAATTAATGACGTCAATAAAAAAATCAATAATATTGCGGTTATTCAGACAAGACTCCAAACACTGCGTTCTCGCAATATTCTGTGTAATAAGTAGCAATTTCTTATACGTGTTATGTAACCTTTGTCGTAATAAATCGTCTAAGCAAGCTGTGTTGTCCGCGTACCGAAGTCGGTGCAAATGCGGACATCATTCTCGATTTCAGCACAATTCGTGTTGCTGATACAAGAACCTATGCAGCTATTTTGTATATTTAATACGTGTATGTAACATAGCTATGTTTAATAATAGGTAGGTAATAGGTACGTAGTACTTAATAATTACTAATGTATTGGAAGCACTTATCCTATGTCATTTCTTTTGTTGTTTTATTTAAACTCTGCCGAAGTAAAGAGAAAATTTCCTTTTGCTTTTCCCGCTGAATGTTTCATATTGTATTGCGTTCCGTTTCAATGAACAAAATGGAATAAAAATAAATTAGTTTAATCATACAGTGGTACTTGCACCTTATCGAATAAGTATATATTGTATTTTATTAAATATCTTTTAAGTTTTTGCATTTGCTGTTGCGATTGATAATACGATAGCAACTTCGTTTATGATAAGAAATGTTTGACGTAATCTGCACTGAACGCAACGCAAGAATGTAACTTTGTTTTTCACACAATCAGCACGTGTAATTGCAAAATAAGCAGATGTTTTGTTTTCCGTTCACAGTACGACACGTTGATGTGGTTCATTGGAAAAAATGAATAGAAACGGCAGTAGAAGAATCCCTGAGTTCCACGATGAGCACTGTTGCGCGGGAAATGGCATCGGGAATTTCCGGCGCACTTCCTCACTGCGTCTGCGCGGTGAGAAAATGGTGCAGCGGTCGCCGCTTTCCACCAGGAAATTAATTCCAATAATCACGGAAAATAATCACCAAAAACACCGGTGCGATGGGGCTCGAGGCTGTGAGCCCAACCATCGCCCGCGGAGTCATGTAAGTTTTACATTAACTCGTTTGTTTTTCTGAATAATTAAACTATTGCCATGGCTACTTCCGCCGACCCAAACGAATACAAATGTAAAGTGCGTGTGCTACACTTTCATACTAATGAAATTCCAGAAAAATCGAAGCAGCTAGTTTTTGGGAACTACTTTCTTGTAATATAAGATTTTGGAGTTGAGACAATCGTATTGATGTATATATTTACGAGGTTTTAATAGTGTTTTTAGAGCCGTGCTTGTGATATTTTACTGTTTATGCTTATTTTAATTTTCAGTCATTCACCTCCAATGTTCAAAATAAAACAAAAAAATCCTATCTAAAACCTCAGGAGTCTTACTTAGACAGAAAGTTGAGCATGACCGACTCCGCAAACACCCCACCCGGATCTCCTGAAGAGTTGCCTGATGATGATTCTCTGCACAGCTATGGCAGCGCTGCAACTGCTGCCTCAGTTGATGCTGGCTATGCACCATTCAATGGCACAACCTTTAGTGGCAGGTCCATGCGATATGTCCTACATTGCTCATCACATGCAGGGTTGGCAGGTGAAGAGTATCTCACACCAACACAGCGTGCTCAAAAACAGATTCGCAGACTCAAAAACCTCCTCCATCATGCCAAGAAAGACTTAGAAAAAAAAGACAGTGAGATTTTTCAACTAACCAAAGAAGTAGTGGAATTACGATTATATAAGGCGTCTGTGTGCTCCCCAGATGAGAAATCTAACTCAAGCGAAATAGTGACCATTAGAGAAAACGCTGAAGATGGTTCTCTGGAGCAGGATAGTCCAAAGCAATCTGAGCCTTGCATACACTTTGATGTCACAGATGGTCCACTATACAAAGATGAAACGCCTACTAGATGCCGTAATGAAATGCAAGGTTCATTCACTGATTCTGGTCACTTTGATGATCTCACTAACTCTTCTTTACATTCTAAGGAATCTGTACATATGTTGACTCATGAGGCTTCATGTATGACTGATATAGGAGGTGGTGAGGATGACCATCGTAGTTTAATAGCATTTTATGAGAAGAAAATTGAGGATGTTATGAGAGCACATGTTGGGGAGACTCAGGAGCTCAAGGAAAGTCATAATGATAGGGTGGAAGCATTATTGCAGAAATTGGCAGATGTTAATACTCGTTATTGTGAATTGCTGCCGAACTATGAGCAAGCAAGAGAAAGAATTCATGCATTGGAAAAACAGCTGGAGGACGCTAATAGACAGCTGCAGGACGGAGAGAGCAAGCATCGCTCTATGTATTTGCAAATGTACAACAAAGGAGTTGAAGCTGCCAAGTTTGAGTTGGACAAGGTAACTAACTACTCTAAAGCATGTAGATTGTGTCACAAAAGCTATTTACATTGTAGGGAACCTGTGATTTTAGGCTTCTTTACATCCATTATGTTCTATTGTTGAACAAATTGTAATTTCGTGTTTTCCATATTGACTTTGTTTGTGTAGGATGGAGATCAAGGGCCATGTCAAGATCAAGTGAACCGGGTGTCTGTTGAGGAATTACTGCAGCAACTGCAGATAACTCAGACCGAACTTGAGAATGTCCGAGTAAGTTTTTCCCACTAAACTATGTAGTACTAACTCATTGCTTTTACCAATTAAAGGACTACCCTTTTCTAACAATACAAAAATAGTGCTTAAATCTAAAGCCTTTTAAAGTACTTTAATGACCGTAACAAAAAAGTACACAAGGCATAAAACAGCAGCGGCAGCAGCAACAGGATTTTATTACTGTATGTCAACTTTTAACTCTAATATGAAACTTGACGAATTGTCAAGTAAAAACTCATAGCGTGTGCTTTAGAAAAAAAATACACTAGCATGTGGTTTCCACTCCAAGAATATTTTTGTAGTGATAAGACATTTGTCAAAATCATATACCATTTCTTTATACCAACTTAATAAGCTAACATTTCAAGTCACTGATGCTAACTCACGTTAGACCCATATATATATATATATAGCCTATTGAAGAAGTATGATGATTGAATTAACCTTGAGCACACTGTACTGAGTGGTGTGTGCATGTAGTGGCAATTAACTGGGCCCGCTTTAACTTCTAGTGCATTACAGGACACGGCATTCACAACGGACCGAACAGCAAAATCACAAGTACTTCTAAGCGCAAAGGAGGCTGTTTCTTTATGGGTCCTAGGAGCTCGAAAGGTTGGATTTACAAGGACGAAATTCAGTGCCACTTTTAAAACACTTTTTATTATTATTTGTTTTCACACCCTGCTTCGTTCAGCGCACTGGTTCAGATCAAACCGTGATAACAAAAGATACAATTTCTGTTTAATAGTGACAATGCTAAAAAAACTTGGATATGGGTGGGTTAAACCAGAATTTGGCAGCAGTCAAGTAATGTGCTAAAACCTACTATTATAGTTACCTACGCCATTTGAGATAAATTTATTTATTATGTACTGTAAGCACTTGTATAAATATTTCGTTTCCTATCTATTATAAACAAAGTGAAGGTCATGTTACGCGCCTGAAGCTTTGTTAGTGGCAAACGGACATATGGCACCTTTGTTTTAATTTTTATTTGCCACGTCTGACACTCAGTCATAAACGTTATTCTCTTTTAGGGAGTACTTTTATTTTAATCTTACTGAAATTTCCATATTTTATAACAATATAAAATTGCGCAATTAATTAAAACAATTATATACTGGTTTTTAAACAATTCGTGCTTTATCTTTTATTTCGGCATCACCTAATCCTTATTCAAGTAGAACTTAAGTAGAAACTAACAAAGCATATTCTTACTTTATGGATAACCGAATTCAACGCTTTGCATGCTATTTATTTGAAACAGCCTCTTTTGGTATTTTGGTATAACAGTGGTTGGTAATGTTTATTATATTTTGTTCGTTTACTATTTTATACAATTTTACATTGTACATTTAGATTCAATTTTATGAGTATTTTTTTATTTTGGTACGAAAGTTTAACGGAATAGTAGTATATCTATTACACAATTACCTATGTACTCGTTTAATTTTACAGGTATTACTTAATTTGTATTGTGGTCTGATGATTTAATAATAAAGCATGTTGTAAAAATTAAAGAAATAGTTTACTTCTATTTTTGTGTTAGTAAATAGTAATTTGCATGCACAAATTGAGACACGATGGGACCGCGAGTTGATCGCTATACATTGTCGAAAGCATTTTTTATTTATACACAAGCTTTAGCTTCATGAAGAGCAATGTATGCCGACAAACACGAAGGTTTAAATTATTGGACCTGTGAAACGAAAAACTTTCGTTAATTTATTACATCTTTTACAGGCCATGTACCGTCGCATCATCGAAGCCCAAAAAGGCAACAAGACTCATATCGACCCCGAAGTTACTCTGCAGTTCCTAAAATCGGCTATCTACTACTTCCTCACAGACCCTGAAAACCATCAAGGCCACTTAAGCGCAATTGAAAATATACTAGGATTCACAGAGGCTGAAAAGAAAAACATTCGGAAAGCCAGGCCTACATAGGAAAGACTGCTGTGAACGTGTGATAATGTCCATAAATGTTGCTATTTAGGTTTAAATAGATTAATTATTGCATGTCGTCAAAGACGATTAGGTAAACTAAGACTAAGCTACACTGTGCACATTATTTTACTTTAAACTGGTACAAATCCAGGTGCGTAGCATAATATCACATAATAACTTTATTTGCGGTGATTGTTCTCTTAGGTTTTTATAGATTAAGTTTTACAATCGAATTTATTTGCCTTGTATTTTTTGTGATTCTCCTTAGTTATTAAGCACCAAAGAATTTTTAATTTCCTTCTAAATTGTGCAATTTTGACTTAATTTTACAGTCGGGAATTTAGTGGTATACTAAACTGGTATACCAAAATAATATTGTATGATGTTGTTTATAAGAATTTATTTTGCCTTTAGTGTTGTTTAATTATATTATGTTTTGTTTTGCATGCTGGGCAGTATTAACATTTTAACGTGTTGTTTGTTTTCCATTCAATTATTTAATTTTAAAGTATTTTTTAACTATCACACACCGAAAATAACCATAAAGACTAGTTTTAATATGTACATAATATTTTGTTGTGTCCAAAAGATGATTTTGCATCTAAAAATCCACAATCAAACACGTTAAAATTCGTCAGTGTGGTTATACTCGTACTTCTCTTGATATGAACTTTAGGTATTTATTGTAGAATTTACGCAGATAAAAATCTTGCCACTTTTGTGATTCACGTTACCTTTGCATAATATTGTTGTGTTCCTACCTCTATACATTTTACTTTAATTTTTATATTTCTTTTCAATTTGTAAATTGTAAAACTATGATCTTTCTACAAGTACATTTTGTATGCAGCTGATTTTAAAGAGTAGCTTATTTTACAGTTAGCAAATTGTAAAGATTTTACAGTAAATTAGTTCAAATATATAAAGTAATTTTAGGACAGAAGACAAATTATACATACTTATCTAACTCAAGTTTATGGTTAGCAATTCAATACAAAACTGTCCGAGTTTGCAACCAACGCTGTTCACTTAGTAGTTAATGTGGTTTTTGCTTTTGTCCAATCAAAAGATGGATCCTACTTGGTTCTCACTATTTTTTAGACTGCAGTATTACATGACATCTAAACTGTGACTTACTCGTCTTTGTCCAAATTAAAAAAATATTCAGTGTTAAATTATTTTTTATTTCACTTCTGCATTCGCATTCGTCATTTTTTGCAATGTGTATGGCTCATTTCACATTACGGCGTAACGGAATGGAAACGAATTTTTATAACGATATTGTACAAAGCATAATGAACTTTATGGCAATTTGGGCAGCGTACAAACTAGATACAAGCTAACAGAACGCGCGTCTACTGGAGAATTCTCGGGAATTCCTGCGCATTCGCGAGAATTCCCGCGGCTGCCGTCTGCGACGCCTACCATCCGCAGAAAGGGGCGGGTGTGGCGCGAAAGCAGGCGCAACGCGATGTCAAGCGTCTTCGAATTACGTGTCACGGTATAAAAAACACGGATTCAAGTGAAAAATTGATCTATTTGGTGCAAAAATATAAATACGATTGTTCAAGTACAGCGACAAAAAAAATTTAAGAATAATAATGCACGAGGAAAAAAATCATAAAAACTAAGTGGATATATTCTTTGCAAAATATTTCATGTCCATAAAGTTTTTGATAAATCATGAACACAAATATCTCCCAGTAAGACGGTGAGGAAACGGACCTTCTAAAGGCGTGACGCACACGGCAAGCATTCTGACCATGTCCAATCAATTATAATTTAAAAAAATTAAAGAACTGTACGATAGTTTAACTGTAAGTAGCTGAGTTGGGTAGTTTGCAGCTCAGTGCAGCATCTTAAGTGTTATTGTGTGTATTATTGTAATCGGACTTCCATAGTATACCAAATTTCAAGACTGTCGGATCGGACAAGCGGAAGTAAATAACCATTTTATGACTGAAATTCCTATACTAACAGGGAAAGAGCTGCTGATCCTGATAGCTTGAATAGATGCTCATTAAACTTAGCTACTCGTAAGAACTATCCCGATTAAGTTAGCTTTTACCTATTTCTGCCGCCAAGAAGTAATGTAAGCATTACTGCGTTACAGTTTTGAAGGGTATGGGTGAAATTACAAGCACATGGGCCTTGTCCACTTGTGTCTCAAGGTGACATGCGCAGTGGCAGTGCCCGTTAGATCTTTGCGTAAAGTTCTGAGGGGCACTGCAACTGTTATGGACAGGCGCGTAACTTACCATTAAAATAGCATGATATAATAAAAAAAAGCCTTCAAATAAAAAGCATTGAGATCAGTCCATCCATGAGAGCTACGATGCCAATATAAACTGCCCTCATTTTGCGTCGGGGTTAATAAGGAAAGCCTCCTGTTTGTCTATATCAGCATTCCCCGAATGTTATAGATAGCATACCTACAATTATACTAGCGACTCCTAAAATTATTCTAGCGATAGATACTAAACTCAATTTCTATAATACTCTGCGTACCATAGACGTCAAAAGTCCATGGACATAAAGGCTAATAATTATATAATTTTTCTAAACACTGAAAAGGGTATATTTATTTAACACAGTGCTTATAGGGCAGAAAATAAATAAAAAACAATTTACTATTAAAATTCGTAGAACTTTGAGAAAAAAATATCTTCATTCGCTTGAAATGTCTATGCACTTGTATCCAAGTGTAATGTGTTTGAAGGTTAATAAGATTGCAATGGAATTACCAAATAGAAAAGTGGAAATTTTCTGAATACGGATATATTCACTCACTGTAAAAACATTAAAATACAAAAAGTATTTACTGATATTAAAAAGGACAACATCGAAATTTAAAGCTAGCACAGACTTAAACAATACATTACAAAATCACTTATTACAGACATAAAGACAACAAACATTGCTCAAAAATTCTTAAATTCAGTACAAAAAAAATTTGGTTGATTACTGAAAACATTCATAAGAAAACTGCAAATAGAAATGCTCAGTACAGACATAGCAGCAACAATGATATATGTCGCAATATAGCCTCAACAACTTTACACAACAAGAGTAAAACGCTTCACAACCTTGTCTTTCACATTTGTACACTTTGATATTATGTATTCATAAAAATTAGAATCGCCGAAATGCATATAAGTTTGTTTTCTTTTAGCTTATTTTAATTCGAGCTACCTACGGTAAACTTACTACAATCAATGGATTAACGTAGTAAAGATATTAATGCTTAACCTACAAACTAGCAAAAATAATATCAGTCATAATTTCTGATTGAATTATTCACATCAACATTTCATTATGGCACAAAATCTGTTCGAGATTATCACAAGTGCATTACTGTCATGGATAACATTTCACTGGTTTATTATAATAAAACTATAAAATTATAGAGCAGATGGATAAATGCAATATAATTAATTCCTCAGGTTTTTATAAAAGATTCTGATCAGTCTTGCAACATTTTAATTATAATTAAGCTACCATATAGAAAGAACTATTACACGCCAAAATAACTGTAACATTAAGCATAAACTTCAGATCTACTTTTGAACATTGTGCAATAATATTCAGAACTTCCTTTTAGCTACTTCAATCAACTTATTACTCTAGCCTACAATATGAGGAGAGTCAAATCTTTGATATAATACTCGATATGCAAATCATATCCTTATAAATCCCGTATTTCAAACCGTAGAAAAAGAACTTCAGGTATCGTTACGCCGTCTTACTAGCTCATCTTCACGGGCTGTAAGTGTAACAAAATAACTACTGTATTGTTCGTTACGTACGCATCATAGCGTTAAGATCATTCGAAACTAAACTTCACTTCTTCGCGAGATGGGTCGTTATTTGCAGCTACAGCTTGCAACCAATAGCGACTAATTTGGCTCTCAATGGACGGTGTGCTTTCTTTCCGTGCAGATGCCGCTCTTGCTTTGCGTTTAGCTTTACTATGCTTAGTGCGGCGTCGGGCTACCTTCGTTTTCATTTCAGCTATTTTGACCGAAAGCTGACTATCCAGGGAATTGCGACGAGATTCAACTGAAACATGACGGAGGCTAATACTGATTTGCGAATCTTGTGAGTTGCGACGATCTGGCGTGGAACTAAGAGAATGGTGCGTGTGGACAGGAAGGACTAGTGCATCGCGGCGGCGAACAAAACGCGGTAGATTTGCGGCCCATGATGATGACAACTCCGCACTGGAAGTAATAATTACATTGTTGAACCACTACCGTTCGCTATTGTTACCTTAAAAAACTATAAAAACTCTACGTTTGTAAAGGACATACATCGTTGCTCTCCCTACTAATTGAAGTATCCGATATTTGTTTGTTGAAATGAGTGCGAGTTGTTGATGTTTAGTCTTTCTCAGTTTTGAAAAGTGATTCTTTTCCTCCATAGGTCTGTTCTTTTTTAAAATATGAATCATCATGAACTCTTTATTTGAACGGTTTGACGACAGCCCAAGACGCCAATTGCGAAACCGAAAATAGACAGTTGATTCGGGAGAGGGAAGATAATTATTATGTTTTAAATGTTCTCTTTCTTAATAGATTTTTCAACTAGACGGTAAATGGAATGTACCTTTCAGGCTTAGCATCTTCAGGGTAATCAAGAGGCGAAGTATGGTCCATACAGAGCCCGACAGGGTCCTGCCGTGATCCGCCCAGCGAAATGGACAGCCGCCCGCGCGCCGCGAACTCGCCGCGACGCCGGTACGCGCGCGCTATAAGTTCATGTTTACGAGCGCGTCTCGTTACTTCGGCTTCCACTGAACAACCGCATTTCCTGTGTAAAATATAGAATAATAAATAATTTAGCAACGTAATGTTAATTCTGGTACATATAGTAACTGGTTTCATTGGAGCTTCTATAAAGTTTATTGTGCAATGAAATTGCACTGACTCAGCTGTTGACTGTCTTCCATGAGTAGCTTTAACACAATCTCGGCTTTTTCTTTAATACAGTGAGTGATTAGGATATACGAATATTGCAATTCGGATATACGAATATCCGTTAAATTTGGTATTCGGATTTAGCAGTCGTCACGAATCGGATAATTCGAATATTTCGAATAAACAAATGAGCTTGCTCGCCTGCGATTCTGATCGCATTCGCGTCGCGGGCTGGTCGCACTCGTACCCCGCACCCTGACTTACGGGTCATGCAAGGTCAGTTGTACTTCGTGCACGGTTTTACAAACCATACAGTTGCGCAACGAATGTAGATGCCCAGAGCAATAGCTTTTAGCAACTCCCCTTGAATGCCCCTACTCGAGGCGAAACAGGCGGCGTGAGACGCGTCCTACAAAATAAGCTTTGTTTGCCGGATGGAGCGCTGAAAGTTCAATGAAGGTTGTGCGTGTTTTACAATATTTTTGAATACGTTCAACGAATTTTGTGTACGGATGTACAGTTGGCGGAATATTATTTGCACCAATTCGTCTATCTTTAGAGGTCAATATGACAAAAGAGTGAGCCGTCTCGGTGACGCACGTGCCATCTGCATAGTGCAAACAACTAGTTTAAACACTTTTACTCATTGACACTTAGTTCTAAACTTGGTAATCTTTATGCGGAACTAACTTTGTTAATGTAGTAAGAAAAGTGTCGGCAGTCGGTATGTTACGAAGTATCTAGTATAAAAAAACCACTTGACGAGTGAATAAATAATTGAAAACTAAAAAAAAGCATAAGCAAAAAGAAAAGCATTTAACGCACCCATGACTCGTACGATGGACCAAGATCATTACTTTATATTATTATTTAGACCATGTACGTTTTTAATTAAAAGAAGTGTTAATGGTTTTATTACCCTATTGCAATAGAAAGGATAAGTCGTTCCAAGAGATAACATTCATCGGTACAAGTATTTCTTCAACTATAATGCGAAATGGAAATACAACAGCATCCCTGTTTCATAGAATTATTTGACTAGCTAAGCAGACGCAGAAGCAGACGTCGGTACGAATCCGGCCGGATCGAAGGAATTTTGTCTGAGTGTTCGAACTTTGTATTAATAATCATAACAAACTAGTGCAGTAATTTGACATAAAAATAATTGAATATCAATCCAATAAAAAAATGCAATGAATAGCGAGTGACATCTCTAGCCAGGGCTGGTGGCTGTAAAGGTATCTAACCGGGTGACGAAATATCGTAGAATTCTCATAGATGGCGCTACGGCTAAAAAGTCGTTGCAAAATCAAATACAAATATACGACGCCTCTATAACCTGCCCCCAGCAGGCCCCCAACCGGCCCCTCAACCGTCCCCCTAACCTGCCCCCAGCAGGCCCCCAACAGGCCCCCACAACCAACGCCCTAACTCACCCCCATATGCCTTATAAATTTATCATAATTGTCAGTTTTAATTGTTAATTGTTAATCAAAAACATTGAAAAGATTGAAAATTGATTAATTGTTAATTGTAGATATTTGCGATTAACGATTGATCAATTGTTAGTTGCGAGAACCGCAATTAACAATTGTCAATTGTTAGTTGCGAGAACCGCAATTAACAATTGATTAATTGTTAATTGCGGTTCTCGCAACTAACAATTGATCAATCGTTAATTGCTGTTTCGCAATTGACAATTAATCAATTGTCAATCTTTAATTGCCAGAACAATTAAATTTTGCCCAACACTGTTTGCAAGCCCTACGATGTTTAAACGATGCTATCATAAATGGCTTTAGATTGCATTACTTTTATGCACATAATTCTATAGAGAATTGAAAGCAAAGTAATTATGAACATATATGTAAGTAAATAGAGTATTTTCCGATTTTAGGAAAATTTATATTCATTTTATCTATAATGTATTAATACAAGTCTTCACTTCTTTTAAAGTTACCTGGCCAAATAGAGTCGCCAAGCTGCCGCAGCAGCTGGAGTCCAGGTCCACGAGGCCATGAGCGCACCCGCCGCGAAGCAGCAAAGCAGCCGCAGCTGCAACACCGACACCGACGGACGCGATCCGCTCGAACACTCTTTGCCGGGGTCTTTTAGCGCTTCTAAACGACAACTGACAACGAATAACAGTTAGTCTAAGAGTCAACGACGTGCGTTTACGTTTATACGCGCATCATCTGCGCGTATACGCGTATACGCGGGTATACACCGCGTATTTTAAATTCGTTTGTAAATTTCAGTTAATTTTTGAAACGAAGCAACTACATGAAATTCTGAGAGTAAACTCCAGTGGAGTATATAAGCTTCTTGTTTGCAACGCGATGTATGAATTTGCGTTTGAATTGATCACTACAGCGCAATAAACGTGCGTTCGTGAAATGCGCGTGTCGGCGCGTATAAATTACGCCGTGTGCATAGGCTCTTAATGGCAATTATACACTCAACTTAGAGTTGCAACGAATATTCGGTTACTATTCGGTCCGCTTTGGGCTATTCAGTCGCTTACCTAATACCTAAAAACAGATGGACGTTAGTAAATTATGAACATCCATTGTAAATTAGCAAAAGCGCAATTTTTCGCTCCTTTCACACTTTGATTAAATTTTTGAAAGTTAATCATACTGAAGTAAAATAAACAATACTTTCTTTATTAAGTCACAAAAATGTAAATTACAGACTTAGTTTTGCAAATTACCGCACCTTTTTTGTTTAATTGTACACAATTATTTATCATGAGTATAATTAGTAAGTGGTAATTCGTGCCAATTTTCGTATATGCGTTAATCAAACTGAACATTCGGTATTCGGCCCAAGGCCGAAAATACTATATATTGCAATACTAATCCAAATCTTGAGTCACCCACAACCAATATTGCCTAAAACATCTCCTTGGAGGCAACAACAGAACATCTACGAGTTGACATAACATTAACATTTAGTAGCAGTAGAGCTCTTGTGAAAGAGTTCGTCTAGGGTAGTACTGCCACCTTACCTATTTCTGCAGCCAAGCAGTAATGTCAGCATTACTGTGTTCCGGTTTTGAAGGGTAAGGGTGCTGGTGAAATTACAGGCACTTGACACCTGTCAACTTATGTCACAGAGTGACGGACGCAGTGGAAGTGCCCCTCAGATCTTTGCGATTTAAAGCTCAGTGGCTGCAACTGCAACTGTTATGGACAGGCGTGTAGCTTACCATCCGGCGCACGATCTTGCTCGTCCCGTCACTTGATATTATAAAAAAAATAATAGTAACAGCATAATCGTAATACCCATAAGGTGTCGTGATACTGTAGTGACGATTCCGCGTTTCGATCGATCGTCACGATGGTCGTATCGGTCCGTCGCTACTTCCAAAGCGTCCGAGTGAATCGTTAACGACATAAACATACACTATCGATTCGTCGTTTCGATCATTCCGTAACGATGGATCGTGAAGACAAATTGTCCCCTTTACTAGGGACCTTTAGACAAGTATATTTTCCGATGGAACTGAGTATTGTTAACATAAAAAGTAGTTGGTAATGTTATGGTAATCATTATTTTTCTTTAAATATCAAACACGGCATTAAGTACAAGTACTGTATAAAGTAAATGAACCATGAAATAAGTATTATGTTCTAATTATAGGTTATCAGCTACAGATATGCTTATTTCAAACGAATAACCTATAGTTCCAGTGTATTGTTTAATGTTTCGATTTTTATCTATCAGAAACATCATTCTGTACAACAAATCATTATCCATTATGTGGTTTTCGGGACGTGTTTATTCTGGTCCCCCAGGTGACTGGGAGACCAGAATACACAACCGTTCTGAAATATAGGAACAATAAACAGTACTCATACTATAAAAAAATAAAAATTAAAACTATAACTATAATTACAGGTAAAACTATAACTACTGATAAACATTGAGTGAATAATGACGAGTCTTAAAATCTATATATATTTATTTATTTAATAAAACTATAATAATAATAACGCACACACATAGCCCCGCACTAGGGAAACCATGTGTGGCGGGTGCCATAGACACACACATAGGCAGCCATAAATTACACCCAAACTCACGAGAGAAATAAATGTAGGCTCATACAAATATTTCTCACGGCCCGGGAATCGAACCTGGGACCTCTGCGTGGTAATAAAAATTTAATACTCACATAAGGTTAAGTTTAAAAGCCTCTTTCCACGAGTCCGCGTTGCGAAATTCATACACGTGACAAGCGAAGGTGACGCATATAAAGACCGCCACTAACGCAGCGGTTAATGAACACCGGGTGATGGTCTGCCTTATCTTGTTGGCAGCACGAGGTGAGATCACGTCTTTACTCGATACTCGCACCGCAATCAGCGAAAATACACCTGTATAAATACAATTACAATTCTTTAGTAAACGCAGTCAAAATTTCATTCTCTATAATGCAACATTCTATGTAAATTTTCGCTTTGACAACTTAGAGGACAATATTAAACAACACATTACTAAACATATAATTACGTGTTTGTGCTACTCGTGGTTAATGCGTAAATAGGTGTACAATTTGTAATGAATATGTAAACATTTTAGAATAGATAGGAAATGAAACTATTTTTCCGGATTTAAATCGCGTATATTTGTTTTTTCAAACAAACCGTCGTTTCGGGCTCTTCACAGGTTGGTTGAAATCCGGAAAAATAGTTTCATTTCCTATGTGTAACAATCGCGAAAACCTAAGAACTCGATATTTTAGAATAGGTTCAGAACAGATACCTCTGAGTAGAAAGTACCCGCCCAACATAAGCACTAGAAACAATGGAGCGAGAAGTAAAGCAGCTCTAATAGGATGGTTGACGTATCCGACGAAACAAATGCCTGTGACGCTACTGCCGTCGACTTCACCGAAGGCCATTGTGGCGATTGTTAGCACAAGTGGTAGCGACCAGGCCACTAAGTGGAAGTATGCTGCTTTCTTGTCTATTCTGTCTTGGATTTTACCTGCGAAAGATTGATATATAATTTTTCACAAACATGCTCGCAAATGTTTGCATTACTGTCAAAAAAAGAACATGGAAAGTTTATCATATAGGGACCGTGCGACTTTCTCCCGGCCAAGGCCTGTAAAGTAACTATGAAAATCCTACTGTTCACTTCTCAAAAACTTTTAAATCTACCTACTACTAATGAACTATGTAAACAGGCAAAAGAAAAATTCATACAGCCTACTACCCAGTGTTCACAGTTGCGAGAATTAAAAATTCCTACTAAAGTAAGCGGTACTTACATAAAAAAAAGAAAATGACGGTAACATTTGAAAAAAAAAAGTGTTTTGGTACTCTTTCGTTTTTTCGTCTTTTTCGTATTTTGATCGCGAAAATAAGTGCTAGTGAGAAGAGCGACAACGAAAATACAGTAATAGATGCACCAACCTCATCAGAAGTTCAGCAGAGTATATACCTAACGAAAATGGATTAAAAAGAATGTTTTGAGAAACAAGAAACGACATTCTTATCTCATTTATACACTTAGAATAATAACGCATAGAATGATAGTTTCATATCAAACGAACTGTCACAAGTGAGGCAAAAACCAAATTCATGTAGGCGTAAGCAACTTGTAACTACGCTCGTCGGCACGCACACAAATATACAAATAATGATGCCATGGAATAACATTTCCCTCAAAAGTGGGGAAATTGTATCTTGCTTAACTAATCATTAAGTTAAAGGTGCCTACAGATTTGCCCGACATTGTCGATCAGGTGCCTACAGATGTGCTCGATTTTGTCGATCGACAATGTCGATCAGGTGCCTACAGATATGCTCGGTTTTGTCGATGAAAAACGAATATAGCACTTATTTGTAAATCCAAGATGGCGGACACGATTTTTCAAAATATGCTATATGGGTATCCTTTTCGAGGTATTTGGGGATGTTCATTACGAATATGGCACTCATTTCTAAATCCAAGATGGCGGACACGAGTTTTCAAATAAATGCAATATGGGTATCATTTTCGAGGTACTTGGGGGTGCTCATTACGAATATGGCACTCATTTCTAAATCCAAAATGGCGGGCACGATTTTTCAAAAAAATGCCATATGGGTATCATTTTCGAGGTATTTGGAGATGCTCATTACGAATATGGCACTAATTTCTAAATCCAAGATGGCGGACACGAGTTTTCAAATAAATGCAATATGGGTATCATTTTCGAGGTACTTGGGGGTGCTCATTACGAATGTGGCACTCATTTCTAAATCCAAGATGGCGGGCACGATTTTAAAAAAAAAAATGCTATGTGGGTATCATTTTCGAGGTATTTGGGGATGCTCAATGTGAATATGGCACTATTTGTAAATCCAAGATGGCGGGCACGATTTTTCAAATAATGGCAAGTTGGGTATCGTTTTCGAGGTATTTGGGGGTGCTCATTACGAATATTGCTTTTGTTTGAACTGTCGTGTTTGCCATCTTGGATTTAGAAATGAGTGCCATATTTGTATTGAACATTCCCAAACATCTCGAAAACGATACCCAACTTGCCATTATTCGAAAAATCGCGCCCGCCATCTTGGATTTAGAAATAAGTGCCATATTCGAAACCTAAAACCGAAAATGCCATAAGCAAACATTAAAGAAAATAACTGTTAAAATAGATTAAAAAATCGCTTAAGAATGCTCCCCTTTTAAGAAAATAAAATATTTTAATATAAAATATTTCGCTTGAGTTACGAAAAGAAAGACATATAATAAGCTATCAAAGTTGTACTGGTGGTGCCAACACTATAGTAGAAACAAATATATACTGTAAATTTGTTGCAATATGTGCTCCAATTCAAATAAAATTAATATAAATAATTATTCAATAAAGCATGAACGCAGAGCCGTTAAAAGTATTATAAAATAATTAAGTGTCCCAATCACTTACAGGAGTTAACGAAAACATTTAATGTTTATTCAAGTAAATATTAGTTCAAGATGCGCAAATAAATCGAAATTACAGGCACCACTAAAATTTACGTAATATAATTATTTTGATACAGAATAGCAAAATGGGGAGAAAAAAAATTCGTTACTTTGCAACACTTTCGTATCTTGTTGCCGCGAAATTATTTTTCTGTTTTAGTGAATATTTACATAAAAATATGAGTTGAAACGCATTACTTACTTGTGGAATGCGATGTTAGTGTCTATTTTGTTTGTCTGTTGTATTTTTACACCCATTTACCGCACATTTCGTCATTTTTAGCAAAAAATTTTGGAGCTGTTCGCGGTGCAATTTGACCTTGAGCACTAACAGCCCGCGCGCTCCTGGGAGCCCGTGTGGAAGCCTTTAACTTGCCTCACTTAGCGTGTGCGGGCTAGGTTTCTATGCGTTATTATTCTAAGTTTATACATATAAAAAAATATGGTAAAAAAAATAAAAAACTCTGTTGACAGATTAAAGTAGAGTCAACAAAACATCAGCGTAACCCTTTGAACCACGTCCAAAGACCGTTCTTACACAATACACATAGGACATAATTTAAATCTTAAGTTTAATGTCAACCTTAACGAAGCCTTGACCCTGCACAATAGCTAATATTTACTTTATACTATAGTCAAAATAAAGTTTTAAGTCCTATCAAAATCACTTAGATTTTTGAGCAAGATGTACTATTTTTTGGGTCATTTTGAATTGAGGGCTTCTAAGACCTGTTGAGTAAGGGTAAATGCCAAATACAAATAAAACATATTCTTTACACTGTGAACTACCATTGTACTCACTACCATGTTTCTGGAGTTTTACGTTACACATTTGACAGGTGAACTATACATTAAATTTTGACAATTGAATGAACACATTTTAATTTAAAAAAATCAACATACAATGTTTTTTTATTAAAAAAAATTGTTTTGTATATATTATTATATACGTCAGCAGTTTTTAAAAAGTTGATAACATAGATCGGGCATTACTAATCTAATAAGTATGTTATCTGTAAATTTGCCTAACGTCAGAATGTAAAATTAAACACCTGGAGTTGAAATCAAATCTGCACTGAACAAAAATTATGGTTTTCCTACAATATTAACATTAGAGGAGTTACATAAACTTTTTTTTCACACTAAGTCAAGGGACGAACAATTCGTACGCCTGATGGTAAGCGACACGCCTGTCCATAACAGTTGCAGTACCAAGCAGAGCTTTAAATCGCAAGGATCCGAGGGCCACTGCCACAGCTCCCTTTACCCTGAGACATAAGTTAAAAAGTCCCATGCTCACATCACCGCTTGGCGGCAGAAATGGGCAAGGTGGTAGTACTGCCCTGGACGAACTCTTTCTCAAGGAACTGTAGTTACTAGAACTTAGCATAGGATTAGTAATAACACTCACCTAATGCTCTAAAACTCATGTGCCACGCATAAGTGAATATCACGAACCAAACGCAGGCTGCCATCATAAAGTAATACACCTAAAACAAAAGGCAATATACAATTATGTAATACACTATTTTGGTCGGTAAGTACGATACTAGAAAATTCCAGAAGAATAAACAATGCCAGAACAATGACCTATTCATATCGTCACATACATATTAGGACACTCCTTCACCGCGAACATGCTCTTGTAATGTAAACGATCAAAAGCGAGCATTACCGGCGGTGAGGGAGATGAGCCGAGCATTCGCTGCGCAACTGTTGTAACATTCGGTAGCCTCTTTCAACGGGAGCATTCGCCTGAAAATCTGTTCAGATTGTAAGGCTGCGACTCCACCAAATATAGTAGAAATGTTTTCAAGTCTTTAGTTAGGTGCCTGCGAGTGCCCGCGACTGTCTTTGTGTGCCAGCGGGTGCCTTTCTGTACCAGCGAGTGTCTTTGAGTGCCAGCGAGTACCTTTGAGTGTCTTAAGTGCCCGCGAGTGCCTTTGAGTGTCATTGAGTAACAGCAAGTGCCTTTCGAGTGCCTTTGAGTGCATTTGCCTCAAAGGCACTCAAAAGCACTTAAAGGTACTCAAGACACTCAAAGGGACACAAAGGAATTCGCGGGCAATCAAGGCACTCGTGGCACTCAAAGCACTCCTGGCTCTCGCGGGCACTCACGACACTCACGGGCACCCAATGCACTCCTGGCTCTCATGGGCACTCAAAGACACTCGCGGGTTCTCGCGGGCACACCTGGCTACCTCGCACATCTCTGGTCGAATGGCAGCCTAACCGAATCTTGGATGTTACATTACAGACGAATGCTCGCTGGTGAGGGAGGTAGTTTGTAATGTAATTGCTCGCAAACGAATCTTGAATATTAGATTACAGGCGAATGTTCCCGGTGAGGGAGCGTCCTTAGTAAACACAAAACGAGATCAAGTTTATCTACTTACCAATACAAAAACAGCTACGCAAGTAAGGTTTTCTTCAGCAGAGGGCTCTCCCTTACGTCTGGTCCCATCTTTTGAACAAACTATATCATCTATTGAACCAACTCCGAACTGTACTAACCACCTACAACACCAAACATGTAAATATTTAGTTGTATAGGATGAACACAGTAGATTCATAGAATTTGAGAAGTACTTATTGTTGTAACACACACATTGTACGTTGGCGATGATATTATTATTGTATTATCTTTACAAAACTCAACGTAACTAACACCGCCCAACCCAAGCCTAAGGGTGTATTTCCACTGTCAAGGCGAGACGAGACGAGACGAGACGAGACGAGACGAGACGAGACGAAACGAGGCGAGGCGAGACGAGACGATTTTCAAAACTTGTATGGCAAAATATAAATTCTCTCCTAGCGCATCTTTGGTGGCAAAGGCCGGGATTGACGAGAATGGGCGAGACGAGATTTGAAATATTTGTTGACGTAACATTGAACCGTATTGCTGCCTACATAAGACTCTTTATTAACTCTGCAACATAAACACGATTCACGATGTCTCGTACGATATCGTGCGGGCTCGCGCATGCTCGCGATGCCTATTAATGTCAATCGAGAGATTATGGGATACAGTCTAAATGTAAACGCTCACACATTTTCGAAATGATGTAAATATTAGATATTTCAAAAAAATTACCTTGTGCTGTTTTTAAAAATATGTAATCACGACACCATTATAAAAAAGGTATACTTTTATTTCAGAGAAAAATAAACAAACTACGGTCAATGAAAAATATATAGTCCTGGTGTCACACATGTATCCATGTCATTTTCGTAAATATTTATACAATGCACATTATATATTTATAATTGTATTAAAATGTACACAATTAGCGTTGTGATTTTATCACAATTATTTAACCACTTTTGAAACATTGCATCGTTTTAAAATATATATATATACACACAATATAATGTAAACATACCAGCGCCAGTTGGAAACTTTTTAAGTGTATTTTGCCAGTTCGTAATATTTAGCCTGGGATAAAAGATTATATAAATAAAGTAATTTTCGAAAAAGTTATTTTTGTTTTTATTTGTTATTTATTTATTTTATCTTAGAGGGTACAAACAGCTTACATTACAACATGATTATTTCTTCTTACAGTATCTTCATCTGATCCTTCTTACGTTAACATATTTAATAATAAGAATTTGCGGGGCATGGTACCTTTAGCCGAGTGTTTATCGCTAGACGAATTGAACAGCACTGTGTCTTCACTATCCATAACCCTAACGCGAGACCGCGCGTGCTCGCGATGGCAAATTTTTGGTGGAAATAGTTAGTCTTTCGGTCTCGTTTCGCCTCCTCGCCTCGTCTCATCTCTCCTCGCCGGTGGAAAAGCATTTTAATGGTCGCCATTAAGGAAGAAGACATACATTTGAAGTTAAACTTATCTTAAGATAATCTGTTTCATATTTAAGCAAATATTCTGATTCATATTTTACAATTTTCAAAGGCTTAACAATTCAATTCTCATTCTAAAAATGAGAGCTTAATGCGCTTTTAAAGCGTTTAATTTATTTATTGACCTACCAACAAATGGACGTCGGATCTAATATAAAATATTAAGTTAGCGTATATATTTAATACATTTGGGATTATGAAAATTCGAGCCAAGGTTATTTCGGGCAAATTTATTTTCAGACTTCTGACAGGTAACTCCAAACCGTAAAACGAGTACAACAGTATTTTGTTAGTTATTATTATTAGTAACAATTAATAAAAAATATTTTTAATAATAAGGTTAACATCAAAGCGACTCTATAGTTTTTTTGTTCTTAATATTTCAATCGTTTGTGGTGGTAAGGAAAAAGACAGTTAACTATTTGATTATTTTGATTGCTTTTGTAATTCATATTTACGATTAATTGAAATATAAATTAAATACTATACAACTGTACAAAATAACAGTTTTAAATGATAACTAAGATAACACACGCAATATAAACATTTGCTTAATGAAAATATGATACAAAATCCTGTTTTTTCACTTTGACTAATTTTTACAAGTTTTTATTTTATATGGTACTGCATGATTGCCAAGCGCGCTGTCAGTCGACCAAACGAAGACTGATGGACGATTAACGCTCTGTGTGTGATTTTAACGCTCTACAACTGCGGACACTTTTTGGTGCGGACCCAACATCCATTTGTTAGTAGGTCAATGGGTTTATTACACTTTTTACTGAATGTGCGTTATAATTCTTACTCGATAACGTTTCAATATTTTTAATTAATTCTAGCACGCTGGAAATATTTGACAAATTAAATTTAAATTTTCAGCCAGTGCGAAAAGTCATGAGAATATCCATGGTCATATAGACAGCGACTCATACCTCTTAATCACCGGTATCGAATGGACCCTACAACGTTGTGAGGTACGGTATGGCGAGTTTACACATGTACATTTGGATATCGTCTAGGGAGCAACTACCACACCTTGTGCAGGTGCTGACCGGGCACGGCTGCTTCGGTCACTACCTGCACAAGGTGGCGAGGAGGGAACCGTCCCCGTCGTGCCACGAGTGCGGCGCTGCGGATGACACCGCGCAGCACACCCTAGAGGTGTGTAGCCGGTGGGATGAGCAGCGCCGCACTCTGACGGGGACTGTAGGGCAGGACCTCTCGCTGCCGAGTGTGGTTGCCGCCATGCTCGATAGCGAGGAGTCCTGGGAGGCGGTGGCCTCCTTTTGCGCAGAGGTTATGTCGCAAAAGGAGGCCGCGGAGCGGGTGCGCGAGGACGCGGCAGACGCGCACCCGCTCCGGCGCAGACGTACGGGGAGAAGGCGAAGGCAGTTCGCTGCTCGCCTGATCTCCTAGTGAGACCAGCGGGCTCTGGACAGGGACTCCGGAGTCTGCATTGCACGGCCTCACTCGTCTGGGGGGCGGGTCGGAGGACAACCGACTCGCCCCTCCGTTGGCGCGGGAGCCCTGGCGTAAGCTAGGGCGGCCGGGCGGCGTCGTGGTGAATGTTCACTGATCCCACGGCGCCGACTCAACCGGCGAGAGGGAAACCCGGGGGGGTTTTAGTGGGGTAGGCCCTCCAGCCTGGAGGGAGAGTCCCCACATAACCCCTGAGTCTCCCTGGGCTCAGGGGTATCCATAAAGATTTCCCCCCCGACAAAAAAAAAAAAAAAAAAAAAAAAGGGG